CTCTCTCTCCTCTCTCTGCTCTCTCTCCTCTCTCTTCTTTCCTTCTCTCTCTCTCTCTCCATTGCTGCCCTCCCTTGCTCCCTCCCCAAATCTTCTCTCTCTCCTCTCTCTCTCTCTTCTCCTCTCTCTTCTCATCTCTCTCTCTCTCTCTCTCTCTCTCTCTCTCTCCCTCTCCCTGCTCCCTCCCTCAATCTCTCTCTCTCTCTCTCTCTCTCTCTCTCTCTCTCTCTCTCTCTTCTCTCTCGCTCCTCTCCATCTCTCTCTCTCTCTTCTCTCTCTCTCTTCTTCTCTCTCTCTCTCTCTCTCTCTCTCTATCTCTCTCTCTCTCTTACTCTCCCTTGCCTCCCCTCCCTTGATCCCAGTTCCCTCAATCTCTCCTCTCTCTCCCTTATCTCTCTTCTCTCTCTCTCAATCCCTCTCTCTCTCTCTCTCTCTCCTCTCTCTCTCGTCTCTCTCTCTCTCTCTCTCTCATCTCTTCTCTCTTCTCTCATTTCCCTCTCTCTTTCTGTCTGTCTTGTCTGTCTGTCTGTCATCTCTCTCTGCTCTCTTCTCTCTCCTCTCGTCTCATCTCTCTCTCTCTCTCTCCTCTTCTGCTCTCTCTCTCTCTCATCTCTCTCTCTCTCTTCTCTCTGCTTCTCTCTCCCCTCCTTCCCCCTCTCCCTTTGCTTCCCTCCCTCAATCTCTCTCTCTCATCTCTCTCTCTCCCTCCTCTCTCTCTCTCTCTCCTCTCTCTCCCTTGCTCCCTCGCCTGTTGCTCCCTCACTCAATCTCTCTCTCTCTCACTCTCTTCTCTCTCCTCTCTCTCTCTCTCTCTCTCTCTCTCTCTCTCTCTCTCTCTCTCTTCTCTCTCTCTCTCTCTCACTCCCTTCTCCCTTAGGCTCCCTCCCCAAATTCTCTCTCTCTCTCTGCTCTCTCTCTCTCCTCTCTCTCTCTTCTCTCTCTCTCTCTCTCTTCTCTCTTCTCTCTCTCTCTCTCCTCTCTCTCTCTCTCTTCTCTCTCTCCCTTGCTCCCTTCCCTTGCTCCCTCCCTCCCAATCTCTCTCTCTCTCTCTTCTCCCTCTCTCCCTCCCTCCCTCTTTCTCTCTCTCCTCTCTATCTCTCTCTCTCTCTCTCATCTCTCTCTCTTCTCTTACTCCTCTACTTCTCTCTCATCTCTCTTCTCTCTCTCTCCTCTCTCTCTCTCATCTCTCTCTCTCTTCTTCACCCTTGCTCCCTCCTCCAATCTCTTCATGTCTCTCTCACTCTCTCACTCTCTTCTCATTCTCTCTCTCTCTCCTCTCCACTCTCCCTCCCCTCCTTCCCTGCTCCGCCTCCCTGCAATCTTACTCTCTCTCTCTCTCCTCTTCTCTTCTCTTCCTTTCTCTCTCATCTCTCTCTCTCTCTCTCCTCTCTCTCTTTCGTCTCTCTTCTCTCTCGCTTCTTCTTCATCTCTGCTCTTCTCTTTCTCTCTCGTCTCTCTCCTACTTCCTCACGCTCTCTGCACCTATTAATCTATCTGTCTGCCTTGTCTGTCTGTCTGTCTCTCTCTCTCTCTCTCTCTCTCTCTCTCTCTCTGCTCTCAATCTCTCTCTCCTCTCTTCTCTCTCTCCTCTCTCTCTCTCTCTCTCTCTCTCTCTCTTCTCCTTCTCTGTCTCTGTCTCTCGTCTCTCTCTCTCTACTCTCTCTCTCTCTCTCTCTCTCTAGCTCTCGTCTCTCTCTCTCTCTCTCTCTCTCTCTCTCTTCTGTCTGTCGTCTGGCTCTTGCTTAAATATGTGTCTGTCTTGTCTCTCTCTTCCTCTCTCTCTCTTCTCTCTCTCTCTCTCTCTATCTCTCTCTCTCTACTGTCTACTCTCTCTGTCTCTGCTCTGTTCTGTCTGTCTGTCTATCTCTCTCTCTCTCTCTCTCTCTCTTCTCTCTTCTCTCTCTCTCTCTCTCTCTCTCTCTCTCTCTCTCTCTCTCTCTCTCTCTCTTACTTTATATACATACGTTTTTTATTAAATAGAAATTGGAGCCATCAAAATGTATTAATCCCAGCCTTAAAACAAACAAACAAACAAACAAACACGTAGCAATCATATCAAAATTTAGTCCCCAGCTACTAATGCGAAATATTACGCTACATTTCATCTGAAGAAGAAACTTAGTAAACGTCTGAATAGTAACTGACATGCCAAACTTTTCTATAAGGATAATCTTTCTTTCCTTTTTCTATTTTTTTTATCCAGAAACTTTGCATATGATGTGATACATGAAGATAATTCGAGAAAATGGAATGTAGAGTCAAAAGCATAAAGGTAAAGCCAAAAAAAAAAAAAAAATGCACGTAAATAAAATAATAAAATAAAAGAAATAAGATAACAACAACAACAAAATAATAATAATAATAAAAAAAATGATAAAATGATGATAACAAAACATTCTTGTTATGACTGCGATACTTTGCAAATACAAATAATGATGAAAAAGGTAAATAAGAGAAATAGAATTAATAGATAGATAAATAAAATGGAATTTATGCGAGGGGGAGACTGACTCTATATTAAAAGGCTCTGAAGAGAAAGAGAAATACATTTTCTTTTTCATTCATTAAGAGAGAAAAGGGGAGAACGAAGAAGTAGAGAGGGGTAGGAGGAAAGCAGACAGAGAAGAAAGATAGATTGTGTGTGTGGTGTGTGTTGAGAGAGAGAGAGAGAGGGGATAGAAAGAGAGACAAAAAGTGGAAAATGAGACTATGAAAGAGATAGATAGATAGATAGATAGATAGATAGATAGAGAGAGAGAGAGAGAGAAAGAGAGACCAAAAAGCTGAAAAAATGAGACTATGAGAGAGAGAGATAGAAAGAGAGAGAAAAAAGGTGAAATATTGAGAATATGAAAGAGAAAGA